AACAATTGATGCATGTATTCAAATTGGAATTGAAATACAATGCAGTTTGTATGATGCGCCGAGCCCGGTGCATGCAAGACAGATGAATGGATGCGCGCATGCAAGCATAAGGATGCTAATTGAAATATGCCCTAAAACTAACCATTGAAAGCGGTTAAGTAAAAGGGAGAAAGAAATGGGGGTTAGAAGACATGCATCACACACACGCACGCTTATTACAAAAGTTATGCCCTCTCGACGGAGGGTCCGAATAATAAGCTAACTAGCTAATCTAAACTAATTATTACAAAACAAAACTAATTAACTAATCCTAGCTAACTAATTAGTTATTACAACACAAATTGATTAGCTAAGTGCATTAACTACTTAAGTACAAAACCAAAGCATTAGCTAGCTAAGCAAAGAAGCTAAGTAAAGCAGTAAGAAGAGGTCCTCAGGGCGAGAAGTGCGTGCATGCTCGGTCACCTCGTTCGGAAATCCATTACGATGCCCCAACTTGTCTCTGTTTGCATTTGATCTTAGAACACTGCACAAAGCTCCAGATAGCTTCTACTCCATCATGGGAACCTCCAGGAAGGCTGCCGACCACTTATTGGTGTTGTAGACCACCTGTAGACCACTTACATTTGTTGCAAACTAGCAAAAGTGGTTGGCCAGCCACTTTTACTGGTCTGCCGACCAGAAAATTCTGCACAACTCCATTTTGCTACAACAGAGAACAAGAAGGGGCACAACAATGTATTTGCAAGGTATGTGTGCACAACCACCCTTCCTATCATTTCTTAAGCTCAAGGGAGTGCGGTTCTCGACTCTCAGGCCACCAACCAAGCATCGCAATGCACAATGGCCGAGAAGCCAAGTTTGCACGAATCAATGTGAATGAATGCACACATAACACATAAAGGCCTTAACCTCTATCATGCATGATCAAGAGGGTCGGCGACCAAGAAATGAGGCACGTTTCATCACTTCAAGTATGAAACGTCCCTTGTTCCTCGTGTTTGGATTAATGCCCGATCCAAACACAATGCAATGCATGCAACATGCTCAACATATCAATGCAAATGGCATGCAAACACAATGCAATGCATGCACATGCAACAACATGCAAACAAAATGCAATGCTTAATGGACTTAAACCGAATATGGACAGACCTAACTCATGCCAAAACAGTGGCCAAAATGCTATGAAAGGATGGCATGAAATGCAAGATAATGCATGCTCATGCATTGGCCCATCAACTAGGCATAATAGCACAACTCTCAAACATGATTAAGAAGTGACAAACATGGAAGTGTGACAACCCTACATGTTTTGAAATCAAGTGTGAAATGATGCCAAATCATCGAAACAACACAAGCATAGCATGCTAGAAGGCCTAAGGCACAAGGCTACTAAAAGGGACTGCACAAGAGGCATGCAATACATGGCACAAATGATTGAACCAGCCGTAGATAGAGCTCAATTAGGTCAAAACAAAGACCAAAACATGCTGAGATGGGAGCTCAAAAGCCTAGGCATGCATGCATACATACAAGTTAGGCCATAAGTGAGGCACGAAGGCACAACCCTTAAAAGTACTCAAAGAGTGAAAGAAGTGAGAACATAGCAATGCTATATGCTCTAAAATATTATGTTAAATGATGCCAAATCATGCACATGTCACAAATGAAGCATGCTAAGAGGCTCAAAGCTTGAAACTAGCATAGGCACTTGCACTATAGCTATACAATACATGAACCATATGGCCAAGACAACCCAAAAAAGTCCTAGAGCATGTCAAATCAAGGCTAAAACATGCACGGAGTATAGCCAAAACAAGATAGCATGAAGGGCATGAAGCATGGAGTATGCAAGACCAATAAGGAGGATTACACTACACCTACCAAAACCAAGCATGAGATGACTTCACCAACAAAAATCAGAGTTATATCATGGCAAAATAGGACCAAATACACACTGAAACGGTGGCCCCAAAAGCTAGGCAAGATGACATACGCATTGGCTCATATTTAAGGCATAAGGCACAAACCCTCCTAAGCATTGAATGAGTAAAAGATGTGAGGGCATGGCCACACTACATGCACTGAAATCACATATCAAATGATGCTAAATCATACAAACAGTCCAAGCAATGCATGCTAGTGACTTGGAAACTCAAAGCTAGTGAGATAGAATGCACTATGGCTATACAAAGCAAGGCATGCATGACCAAAACAACATAAAACAGAGCTTAAGCATGGTAAAACATGGCCAAAAGCTTGCTGGAGTTGAGCCAAGAACATGCTACAATGATGGTCAAAAGCATGATGCATGTTAGGCTAGTGAATGGAAATGCACTACAAGTGCAAAGAGCATGCAAGAGGCTATCAAATCAATCCAAAACAGAGGTATGGCATGCTAAAACAACACCAAAAACTTGCAGAGATAGAGCCAAAACTTGCTATAAAGGTGAGCTATCAACATGAGCATGTAAGGCTAGTTTGCAAGGATTACACTACAAGTGTATGGAGCATGCAAGAGTGGCCTAAACTAAGCCAAAACAGAGGTATGCCATACTGAAATAAGATCAAAAATAGGCTGAGATGGAGCCAACATATGCTAGATAAACATGCTCAAACATGAGGCCAACAAAGCAAGCAACCATGGTACAAGGAGAGGGGATGACCCCCTCCTATTTGGGACCTCAAAACACACTTTCCACCACTAAAATTCCTCTGAGTTTCAGTGGTGAGAAGGCCAAAAAGAGGTGGTCCCAATAGCTTAAAAGGATAGCACAAAACAAGGCCAAACAAGGCACAAGAGGGGGTAGACCATCCCCAACACCAACAAAGCCCTAAACAAACATGTTAAATACTTAAAACCAGAACTTTTTACAGTTTAAAGTTAGGCCTAAATCATCATGAAAATAGGGCCAAAAGCTTAATCAAAAACAAAGGTTTAAAGGGTTAGAAACTCACCCTTGTAGAACAACTTCAAGGAAGCAACTCCAGCAACCTTTTTGGATCAAAATCAGTCCAAAAACTCCAAAACCAGCTTCAAGGTGCCTCAGCAACAAGAGTATGGTGTTTGAGTAGGTGTTTGTGTGCAAAAATGTGAAGAAACTACACTTTCAAGCACAAATATAGAGCAAGGAAGAAATATAGAGATAAAGATGTATGTATAGCTCTCAGCCACTTTTTTCTGAACCTGGAGAAAGGAGAGAGGGCCTCCTTATATAGAAAAAACATGCAACAAGCTTGTTGAACAAGCTTTAGGCTCCAAGCAATCCCTCCATACACGTGTATGAAGGATGCCTTCTGTGCCCAACAGCTGGCACAGCTGGCAAGAAAATATCTGCAGGAAACTACAGGAAAGCGGCCGACCAATTGAAGTGGTCGGCCAACTACTTGCACTGGTCGGCCGACCAGCACAAGTGGTCTGCAAGGAGACCAAGTGGTCGGCAAGGGGGGAGAGGTGGTCTGCACCAAGAAAGCAAGGTGGTGGCATGGCTGCCGACCACTTTTGGTGGTCCACAGGCCACCAAGACCAGTTGACCGACCAGAAAACTGGTTGGCGGGGAAGAAAAGTGGTTTCCAGGGAGAGAAACTGGTCTACAACCCCTATTCCACCCTCCAAGCAAGGAAAACAAGGTTTGTGCTAAAAACAAACCAAAAAGGATGCAAGACAAGAGTCTGCGGGTCAAGGCATGCAGCCGAAAACCTCGAAAACTAGTCTATGGGCACCAAAAGTGGTCTACGGGAGGGAAAAGTGGTCTACGGCCACAAAAAGTGGTCTACAAGACCTCAATGTCCCTCTAGACCAACGCAACAAGGCATGGTCCGAAAACTAAGCCAAGAGGAGAACGATAAGAGGTCCCGAGACAAGGCGCGCGGCCGAAGGCTTCGGAAATTGGCAACTAGTCTATAAGAGGGAAAAGTGGTCTACAAACCTCTCTCTCCCTCCAGGGAAGGGAAACAAGGTATGGTCCACAAACCAAGCCAACACACAAAGAGTTCAGAGGCCCGGAGGCAAGGCACTCAGCCGAAAACTTTGAAAACTCGAAACGAGCACAAACATGCGCAATCACCGAGCACTCAATCGATGACGTCTGAGTCTTAAGGTCGGTCAAAAATGGGGTGTCTACAATATTCTCATCTCATTAGAAGCAATATTCAAAATGTAGCTCTTTAATTTTTATAGGTAATAGGTCTTATAGCTAATCTTTGTCACACTTTGTTGTTTAAAATTGTCCATGGACCAAAAAATACACAATTGGAATAGGTTGTCTACTATGGCTGCTAAACATAATGTAATAACAGAGTGATCCATTCTACAGGTTATAATTTTTTTTACTAGACTTTGTTAATATGTTTAGTAATTTTCATGTTTTTTTTTTTTTTGGGTTCTCTAATGGTAGTTATACTTGTTAACGAGCTAAGAAATTTCAAAATTTATGAGGCAGCTCACATTTGTGTCCATAAGCATACGAATTTTTTATTGAAACTTTCATCTTTGATGAATTTTTTTTTTTTAATTCTGTTTACCTAAACAACTTACATCTGTTGTCATTCTTTTGAAGGTGGCAGATGAGTGGGGCCAAAACTCATGATGGAAGCCTTCCATGAACCAAAGAACAGAAAAAAGAGTTCAAGGTTTGTACATTTAGTCCCATATTTCATCTTACCCTTCTATTGTTGTATACTAAGGTGGCTTGGTTGGATTTTGAACATCTGAGGAACTAATAAGAGCCAGGATGAGAGTAATGGACCTGGTGCTTAATACTTAGATGGTATGGAACCAAATTTTCCACCTTCGACTGAGTTTTCAAAAGTAAGTGTGGAATTAATTTTTGAAACTCCTAAACAAACATCATGTGCAAAATAAGCCCTGGAACTAACGTTCCAAAGCTGTACCAAACGGAGCCTTAGTTTTTATTGAAACTTTCATCTTTGATGAATTTTATTTATTTTTATTCTGTTTACCTAAACAACTTACATCTGTTGTCATTCTTTTGAAGGTGGCAGATGAGTGGGGGCAAAACTCATTATGGAACCCTTCCATGAACCAAAGAATAGAAAAAAAAGTTCAAGGTTTGTACATTTAGTTCCACATTTCATCTTACCCTTCTATTGTTGTATACTAAGGTGGCTTGGTTGGATTTTGAACATCTGAGGAACTAATAAGATCCAGGATGAGAGTAATGGACCTGGTGCTTAATACTTAGATGGTATGGAACCAAAAAAACTCTCTCTTAGTTTGAGTCTTATAAATTTTCATGATTATAAATTTTGTCTCCATTTCGAAGATTAACATTAACATATGTTTCTCTCTTTATATATATATATATACCTCTCTGTGTTTCCCTATGACTTATGCTCATTGATTAACATTATGTTGATTGATTTAGGCTCTAATGTTTTGTTTGTTTGATCACTTAGCAGATAATTGGAATGCACAATGGTGCATTTTCATATCAAACTCATTCTCGTTGTAGTTTAACTTGATAACTATGAATAGATGTCATAAATTGAATAATTCCCATTGACCTTTTGTTCTACCAAAATAACTCTAGCATTTATTGACTACTTTGAATGACTATTCATATAAGAGTGCTCATGTTCTTCGTCTTATGACTCTTCAAGTTCACAAGTGTAATTGCATTTCTTTTAGTGCATCAACTATCTTGCTTCATTTAGCAGCTAACATCTTTTACTTTGATAGTGTTTGAATTTCAGACCTTTTATACTCCTTGGATTAATCACATCTTTTACTTTGATAGTGTTTGAATTTCAGACCTTTTATACTCCTTGGATTAATCCTGGATCTTTTGGTCTTCTCTACCAATTGTCACTCATTAGTTTTCTTTGCATTTGATCACAAGCTGAACTAAAGATGGCTGCCTTATGGAGTCTTGGGTTGCCCTCAGGTCATGCGCCAAGAATACTATATTAATTGGCAAAACCGGTAGTATGCCCATGATAATCCATATGTTTGGATTTTTTTATTTATTATTTTTTTTTATCATGATAACTCTCAGTAGCCAGTATGCTCTCTTTCTTTCTTTTTTCTTTTTTTTTTTTTTTTAAATTCTAAATTTTGGTTTTTGAATGTGTTTTTTTTTTTTCTTTTTAAATGTTGATGCTGACTACTATTTGGTATTTGCATAATGGCCAATGGGATATTAGGCCAATGGCTACAAGTACCAGTTTGTGTGCTGATTTTGCTGAAAACATTAGGCTTCCATGTTAACTTATGTTGAGAATTCTTTTGCAAAAGGAGCAGGTGTGAACACTATTTTACAGTAAACAATTGAATTTAAACAATGAGATGTATGGGTATATATATATATATATATGAAAATATGGGTTGATATTTCTATTACATGTTTTAATTAATTTCTTAATCTTATGTTATTTTTCATATAAAAAAAATTGTTTGGTGTTTGCAATTGATATTTTTGTCGGAACAAATGCATAAATAATTTTTATAATAAATAATTATTTGTGAAAAATGTCATTGAAGACTATTTGCGACAGTAACAAGAAGATTGCTAAAACATAATAAGCAATTTTTTATTTTTTTCAACGGCAAAACAGCAGACACAATAAGTAGGTTAGGCGGTCGTAAATAATTTGTGACCGCTACTTTGTCGTCGCAAAAAGTATTTGCCACTCACATATTTGTGTCCCCCATTTGCTATCGTATGGGCCGTCGCAAAAAAAAATTTTGCTACTGTATTTCTATTTTTTTGCGATGACATGTGGCGGTTGCAAAAAGTACTTTTTTTAATAGTGTGGTATACATGAGTCATCAAACACTAATCTAATCCTCCATTAACTAATTAATCATATTTAGGTCCAATTAATTAGGTTTAGTTCTTAATCTCCATTAGTTAATTAATCTCAATTAAGTTAAATTAATGTCGCTTAATTTCGTTAATCTTGATTAATTCACTACAAGAAAATACATTTTTGGCGACCACTTTTGCCGACTAAAAAAATTTTGGTCGCTAAAAGTTGTGGAATTGGCGACCAAAAATTATGTTAGTTAGCAAAAGTACAATATTTAGCTACTAAAGTTTATTAGTCGGGGTATATTGATTATTGGCAACCAAAAAAAAATTTAGTTGCTAAAAATCCCACAATTAGTGACTAAAAAAAATTTAGTCGCTAAATTTGCCACAATTTGCGACTAAACAAATAGTATAGTTTAGTCGCTGTATAGTAAGTTTTGGCTACTAAAATTATTTAGTTGCCGAATGAAAAACAAAAATTAATTTTTTATTTTTGGCGACCAATTTTGGTCGCCAAATATTTTTTTTCAACGACTAAAAAATATTTTTGACACTATATAGTTAGTTTTGGCTACTAAAATTATTTAGTCGCTGAATGAAAAACAGAAATTTGCCTTTTATCTTTGGCGACCAAATTTTTTTTTTAGCAACTAAAAAATATTTTTGTCGCTGTATAGTTAGTTTTGGCTACTAAAATTATTTAGTCGCCGAATGAAAAACCAAAATTTACTTTTTATCTTTGGTGACTAAAAGTTTGGTCGCCAAATAATTTTTTTCAGCGACTGAAAAAATTTTGGTTGTTGTATAGTTAGTTTTGGCTACTAAAATCATTTAGTCGCCGAATGAAAAACCAAAATTTGCTTTTTATCTTTGGCGACCAAAAGTTTGGTCGCCAAATATTTATTTTCAGTGACTAAAACAATTTTTAGTCGTAAAAGAACTAAAATATTTGGAAGGAGACATTTCAAATTTTGGAGGGATTTATAAAATATTTTTAGCAACTAAAAAATATTTTAGTTTCCAATAACCATATATATGTATGTTCTAATTACTTCTCCATTTTGTTGCCCTAAATTAAATTTGTTTCTCTAAGGGAGCTCTCTCTTCCCCATCTGTGGGTCATCGATCTCAATCTCTCAAGCCGCTCTATAAGTCCTTGCCACCATCGCCGACACCATCGGCGGTCTTTGCCGGCACATCTGACTGTAAGCCTTGTGGTGGTAATACCAGAGAGCAACTCATCAGTAGCGGCTGGGTTAGAGCTCCACACTGATCAAGGCGCCACCGGTTTGACTAATTTGATGGTCGGTCCACCGTCGTTCTATGGGAACAAGCCAACCATGCTTGATCTTCTTGGGCTGGGGATTGGAGCTGGTGGATCCTCCACTGCTAGCTTCTTGGCTTTGTTCACTTCCATTGGAGATGGGCTTGATGTTACGGCGACCAGGAAATTAAGTTAGAGAGGACACTTATTAATTACAAATTTTTTATTTAAAAAAAAAAAAAACATGATCAACATTAAGATAATAATAATTTTATGCGATAAATTATAATAAATAAAAATCATTATTAATATGAGGCTAAAAAAATTCTATAATGTGTATAATAGCTCGGTGCAAGATGGTGATGTAAGTTTGTAATTTTAGCACACAAAATTATGGATCAAAATTCCTAATTTAATAAAATAAAAACACATCATTTATAGCACAAATTGTTATAAAATCAATTTAATTTTTATTTGACAAAAAATATTAAAGAGATGATATTACTTATAAATGATGTGTTTTGAATGGAAATTATTACATTGCCTTAGAGTACCATATGGTGTTGCCTATGTGATGCTCAAAGCATGAGAAATCACAAATCACACTAAGTAATTTGTCAACTACTTGAAAATAATGAGTTAATTATATGCAATCCATTCCCACTACACTATTGGTTTAGACTAATACATAAACAATACCACATATATAGTGCTCCCAAAGTATAAATAACTACTTATTGTGAACAATACAATAAATCCTTAGCCAAAAAAAAATGTTAAGAAAAAAATGAATACATTTGGTATATGACCACAAAACAAAAACAAAAAAAAATTCAAAATTGAGGGGCGGCGCGCGTGAACCCCCTGGGCCTTCTTTGGCTCCACCCCTAACGGCGGTGGCTTCATAAATTTGGAGGAGTGAATTCCTCGGCTAAAGAATGCTGGAAAAGGTTCATCTGAAATTACATTTTTCCCGACCAATTTCGCGGACTACCTTTTCTTTTGTCAAAAAATTTTGTCATTTGGCGACTAAATTAAAATTTGATAGGCAAAGGTTTAGAGTTTTGCCGACTAAAATTTTGTAGTTGCCAAAATAGAATTTTCTGCGACCAAAATTGAAATTTGGTCGGCAAAGGTCGAATATGGAAGACCAAAAAAAGCGGGAAAATAAAAAAGATTTTAGCGACCAAAATAATTTGGTCACAGATAATAAAACGACGCCGTTTTGAATGTAATTTAAGTAAATTGAAGGCAAATGCCGACTAAACAGTTTTGTAGGGGAAAATTGGCCTATATCAGCAAAGTGAAAATTTTCAAACTCTTTATACAGTATATACTGCGCACCACTCCTCATACGCACCTCATCGTCGATTCTCCTGCTCGATTGCAGTCACCAAAGTCGCTCCTCCTCCGTCATCGCAATCGCCTGTTTCGCTTCTTCGACCAAGCATCAGTGGCGCTTCGAGAAGTACTTGGGCCTCCATTGTTGGGTATGTATTTTATCTCTCTCTCTCTCTCTCAATTTTTGTATTTTTGTTTCATTACTCCTCTTACTCACATGGTTGCTCTCTCTTTTCGCACCTAAAAGCACCACCATCACTATAGCGATCCCGGTTTTCCCCATTTGGTTGTTGTATTCTGGACTTAGGTTCTGTGGTGTTGGTTGTTGCATATATCTGGTGTTCATCATTTAATTCCTTGTATTCGAGTTTTGGGATGTGTTGGTCAGGTTTGTTACAGGTTGGTAGTGAGTTTAAACATATAGTTGATGCCCAGAATCTTGTTCCTTCACTCGAGCGAGGCTTTTGTCGCTCGAGCGAGCTTGGTGTTTTAGATCCTTCGCTCAAGCTAGGGTTCCTTCGCTCGAGCGAGCGAGTTGTATGTTTTGGGTTTCTTCGCTCGAGCGAGATATTCTTCGCTCGAGCGTGCTTCTGGTTGCAGACTTGAAGCTTCGAATTGTTGGCTCGAGCGAGGCTTTCTATGCTCGAGCGAGTTATCTTTGTGTCTAGTCGCTCGAGCGACCAATCCTTCGCTCGAGCAAGCCTCTGTTATATCAGTACGCAGCAGCAATCCCCTTCATCACTTTTTGATTTCCTTTTCTCTCTAAAACCCTAGATCCGACCTCTCTCTCTATATATACATCTTCTCTCTAGGGTTTCATCTATTTCGAGAATGTTTCTACCCTAGTCTCTTTGTAAGAAAGATAGAGGGTGGCATGGGCTTCACTTTAATCTGAAAATTTGTGGATTTGGAGCACCTTGAGTTTCACCTCTCTTCTCCATTCGGTCTCTCCATTTGAGGTAGGGATAACCTACTCTAATCTATGAGTCTTGACATAAATTTTAGTCTTTTTGATTAGTTGGTGTTGTTTGGTAATTTTGAAAAAGTTAGGGTTTGATTTGTAATTTATAAAAAAGGGGTTCTTCATGTGTGAGTCAAAAAATACTTGAAATTGGGAGTTGTTTATGAATTATGAGTGAAATATGAGCCTTGGGGGCAATCTTGTGAATAAGGGAAAAATGCCCTAATTACATTGAATAATTAATTTGGGGAAATGTGAAATTGGGTTGAGGATAATGAAATTGGGAAATTATGGAAGTAAATGGTGTAGTTGGATAATTTAATCACTCGCCTATGAAAATGTCAATATTTTATCTGTTGATGAATTTATTGTCTATTTAGAGATAACTGCTTTGGACTATCGGTGGAGGATAGTCTTGATTGTTGTAGACACTGTATGTTGATTAGGGAAAACTGAAACTAATCGAACGTGTTGTGTCATTGAATATGACGGTTGAAATAATACAGCAAATATGTGTATTGATTGATCATTGTATGTGTTGAAGTGCTTAAATACATTATATATGTATATTTGTTAGGGAGGAGATAGGGGATGTACTCCAGTGTGTGGGAGGAGATAGGGGATGTACTCCACACACATATGTGTTCATATACTTTAACACATTGTTTATGTATCTTTGTTTGGGAGGAGATAGGGGTTGTACTCCATATGTGTTTATATACTTTAACACATTGTTTATGTATCTTTGTTTGGGAGGAGATGGGGGATGTACTCCATAGGTGATTATATATTTGAATACATTGTATATGTATATTTATTTGGGAGGAGATGGGGGATGTACTCCATAGATCAGTAAGCTGGCCGGAGTGTCCGGGGTAAAAGTCCCGAAACCTTATAATTGAAGTGCGGGAATGAAGTTGTCAATTGAAGTAGTAACAACGTAAGATGTAGTCTCATTTTAAATTGTGGGAAACAGAGGTGTTCATAAGTCGAGTTGTAGTCTCACTTAAATTGTTTGGGTTAGATAATGAACCATATCTAGGAATTGAATTGGATAAATAAGGGAGGTGGATGGAAACATAGATGTAATTGTTGTTGGGCTGGTGTGAATTGGTTTACACGTGTTAATCACTTGTCAAATGATAATGTTTTAGTTATTTCTCATATTGGGTTTAGTATATCTCTACTGGGCTTTGGCTCACCCTATTTGGGACACCATTTTCAAGTACCGGAGACGTGCCAAATTCAAGATCTTTGCTTAGGAGGTTTTCGGAATTGAAGACTCGGTTTTGTTATTTGTTTTATTGATTTTATGTAAATGTAAGCCGAGGGCTTTACCTGTAAAAGAGTTAGAACTCTTCTTTTGTGTAACCAAGTAACAACTTGGAAAGATGTAAGCCCGCAGGGCATTCCATTATTTTTGTAAACATTTGTAACTTATATGAAATACTCTTTTATAATATTAACTCTGATGTATGTATGGAGATGTGATCTATCCATCATGTATATAGAACTGTTGGGTGTTGGGATTATGTATTATTTTGAGGGTGTTACAATCAACATTTTGATGTTACTACTAGTTCGCCTATCTTCAAACAACCCCGAGATTAGGTATGGGTCCTCTCTCTCTCTCTCTGCCGCTCAATTTCTCTATTATCCTTTGTTTCCCCTAATTTTGAAAACCAATTTTTTTTGTTTTCCCTAATTTTCAAAACCCTAATGGGTGAATGTTTGAAGGGATGGCCTCAAATCATACTCTCCAGACAATGAACAAAAATTAAAACAGCTATATTTATACGTATATTGTTGTTTGTTCTAGTTAGATATTTACACCACATGCAAGTATACCATATTTGCTTTATATAATTTGCTTAATAGTTGGAAATTTTTTGTATCACTGTTTGTATGATTTGGGTTATCCTTGGATAGCATGATCAATTTTTTGTATCACTATTTGTATTTTTTTTTTTCTCCTTTTCGGAGGAGAAAAAACAAAAAAAAAAATAATGAAAAGAGTCCTTTTCACAGAGAAAAAGATCAAACCTCTTTATATATATATATATATATACAGTGATACAAAATTATTGATCCCATATATACATCCCACAAAAATCTATCATACCAGTTTGACACATACAGATACAGAGCTATTATCTATTGTCTGTTTCTTCAATTTTTTTATTTTTATTTTTTTGAGGAAACGGAGGAGCAGCAACAAAAAATGGAACTTGAAAATAATAATAATAATAATAGTAAACAAAGCTGTGCTAAGTTGAGTTGAGTTAGAGGTCTTTATTTTCTCTGCTTCAATCAAAAGAATTTATTTTCATTGAACTTTGCAATGATTTCGATTGTTTGGTTAGTTTTGTGAAGTTTACGTATTTTTGTGCTTCTAGTTTATTGCATAATTTAGATTGAGTAAGTTTTTTATTATGTATATGTTTTCACCAAGTGAATTCTGAGCATATCTGATAAGGGTAGTATGTTTATATAGTGGATTTGTTTGGTGATTTCATTCGGACCTACTTCTTTAGGGATCTGATTGGTTATACACTATCGAGGCGTGGATAATTATTATTTATTGGCTATGAATCGGATGACTTGTGAGTTAGGATGATAATTACCTTGAAAGGCATTTCATGTGTGGTGGAAACCTAAGAGTGTCTAATGGTTCAATAATAAATTTCTCGGACGTGTGGCGTAATTGGCCAATCCCCAACAAAAGACTAAGATTTCAGATATGTTGTTGCCTTTTAAATGTACAAAAATTTTAAGTGGTTTGAATTCCTACCCCTTTTCCCAAATTGTAAATTGTTTTTATATTTCTCTTAGCCTCATTTCTTCTGGAAATCTCAAACTGCCATATGCTTATTAGTTTTGTAACGCCCTCGAAA